TATGCATCCTAAATAACTGAAAACTGCATTTTGGCAAAGGGTTTATCAGCTTTTCATGGTTTTCATTCAGCCTCCGAGCTCAGACTAACTGGCATAAGAGTCCCAGGGCACCTTCTATCCACAATCAATTTCTCTGTGTCCAATGTCATTATTCCATTTGCTTCAATTTTGGTGAATTTTTATGATAGCCAATCCTTTTTCTACAATTTATCTTGCTGAAGTTCCCAAAATAAAATTTTATATAAAGAGTTAGATGACAGCAGGCTGGTCAGAAATGCATTATTTTCTTTTTTAGTTCCGTGTTACACATCTCTGGCTGATGAAAGTAGCAGTGCTGTGATTCTCATTGTAATTTGTGCAATATTCCAGTCAGTAATAGTGTCTTGTTGAAATATGCATGAAAAACTCCATAACATTAGTGTAATGGACACACTCCAACACATCTCTCTCATCCAGCTACCTCATAAAGATTTTAAATGTCTGCCTTAATTAGATCTTAATATTAACAGGAATATTACATAAAGCTAAATGAGGACATAAACTTCAGCTGAATGCTACTTCTACCCAAACCCCTGCCCTCTGCTCTGCACACACCAAATGGTTTTGGAACATTTTCATGCTCCATCTTGGTTCTACTGACTGCTCCTTTTTAAGCTTTTAGCAACAAATCAAGCTTTATTTTTCCTTAACAAAAACTTCCAAATCTGCCAGAGAAAACAAGGAATTACCTTGCTTAAGTCATTCACAATACTCTTGATTACTGCCCTGGCATTTCATTGACCAAAGCAATAGGGAACTAATGAGAAAATGTATAATACAGTAGATTAACTTGGTCACTTTGGTCACTTCCCTATTTTCTTTTTCTTTTTTTCTTTTTTTTTTTTTTTTAATAATGTCTATTTTATCCTGATGAGCTGTTACAGAGAGCTCAAACAGAAGTTTATTGCTGCAGGTCACTGTACATCTTCTCCATCCACTAACAACCAAGAAGCTATTTTGGACTTGTCTAGGAACATCCAAAGACTCCTTCTGGGGCTGCCCCACTACAGGCATCCCTGTAAAGCAGGTGCAGGTACAAAGTTCTGGCAAAGCCTGTTAGATCAATCAGGATATTCCTTACCCAGTAATGAAGACCAAGTGGAGACTTGTGCCTGCATTGTTCTATTAAGTTTCCTCTTGATTCCATATCACAGCACGCTCAGTCAAAGCTATTTTGGTGCTTCACTGATCAAACTGATTTTTCCCTTTGATGATAATATGAAATATTATAGGATAATAGGGTTGTTATATAATCAAAGTCGACAGCAGGGAGCTAAATTTGTGTTGTTTTGATGAAGAGCACATTAGTGTGACATAAATAGACTAATCTGATTTATTATTATTATTTCTAATGCTTAATAATAGGGAATGGTAGGGGAAATGAGACTCTGGGGAATGAGAGTGCATCACAAAGTGAGAGCAGACATTAGGATGTCTAGTCATAAGCAGCACCACTACTACCTGCTCGTAGCTGAATTTCAGAAGAGCGAGTAGCGAGCAAGAGAAGTTGTTCTGAAAGAGATTATCTCTTAAATGGAATAAACCCAATAATGTACTAGGCAAAATATTCTGTGAAAAGCAGTGTTGTGAGAAGAAAACATGTAGGGCAATAAGAAGTCAGAGACAGAACTGACAAAAGTCAGCTCACCTTTCACTGACTGGTTTTTCGTGTTTAACTGAAAAGCTGGGATTAACCTTGAACAAAAGCTTCCCTTTCATGATTCAGTCTGTTCCAGTTCCAGACAGCCCAAGCCATTATTCACACATCAGTCAAGAACCATGAAAACAACTAAAGAGAGAGGCAGATTTTGCTTTGTGTTCTGGTGTGCACACATGAGAGTTCTTATATCTGGCTGCTCACAAAGCAAAGTCCTACAAGAGTTTCGTTGCAAATGAAACATTCTGCTATTTCAAAATCCTATGGGTGGCAAAAATATAGGTTGGACAGAACTGTGGGCTTTTCAGCCAGAAAATAAAACACATAAGCATATTTGAAAATCCCAAGGAATGCAGATACATTCAAGCAAAACACTTTCAAACATACAGACTCATTATAGTTTTTAAATTTAAAAGTATGGCTACGGACATCTACTCTGGCTCCTTCATATCAACATACACAGATTTCTTGAACTACATTTACAAATTTCAACTAAGCTAAAGCAGAGCTATTATAAAGCCATTGAGTTTTAATGCAGAGACTCTAAGTGACAGATAACCCATAATATGCTGAGGTAAGTTTCTCCCCTGGTTAAACACCCCGTGTATTAAAATTGACTTTTCACTTATGGTTCCAGAGGGAAGATTTAGTAGCAAATCAGCTAGAGTATGTAAAGTTTTCAACCTCTCCAGTTCAACATGTTTTATAGGACATGTAAAGATGATTTTTATATGCAGCAGAAATAATAGTTTCTTCCTTTCTTAAAGGAAAAGAAACAAAATCAATGTTTTATGAGATGAAACTGCTTTTTTTCTTTTTAAAGATTTTGCTAAAGGTCCTGTTACCAAAATTTTCCTTTGCAAGGCACAGAATTCAACTTGAATTCTGCAAAATCCCAAAATTTTGCTGCTTCTCACCAGTGTCAAATACACCCAGCAGCTGTACATGATATATAAGTACACATTCCAGGCATACCTCTTATCTCCATAACAGGAAAAGAGACATAAGTTTATTCTCACTTCTGGGATAACAAACAAAGATGAAAAAAGTGAATTTGGAGAACACTGTGAATCCTATGGGCTACCAGGGGAAGCAGCTTTGAGGTGTCAAACACTGAGGTAGTTTAACACATCCTGAAACTGCTTTTTTAGGTATTCTTGTTTTGATCCTTCTGCCATCAGCATTTGCCATTGGACATGGTACTGGCAGCACAGCATTGATGCACCCAGCTTGCCCCACACATTACTCTGAAAAAGTCCATCCTCATCCATCCTCATTAAGAACCCTGTTAGTTCTTCACCAATCTTAATGGAGGATTTCATGCCACAGCAATTTCTACACTCAAAGGAAGCTGCATAACGGAGTCAAAGTCATGGATAACTTGCTTGTCATTTACTTATTGAAAGACAGATGTGGACAACATGAGCATATTTGATAGTTAATAATTTAAAGCCAAGGAGAAGACAACAGAGGAGGAATTACACCCCTTATTTCTCCCTATTAATGCTCTTTATAAAGGTCTCTTTGAGAGGGTATCAACATCCATCAGCACACAGAGCTCAGAGCTGGGCACACACTATCTCGTTTTAAGGGGAAAAAAGGATTATTGCTTTTACACTGAGAGCACAGAATGGTAGAATCAGCAGGAGGTGATTAGTGCCAAAAAGAAATGGGTTTTGTATGGCAAATTAACACAGAAAGTGATTTAAAAGATAGAATTAAATCAGAGACAAAGGTGCAGGTTCATAAAACTCCCAGTTCTACCCTTGTAAAATCAAAGATAAATCTCCAAAAGCACTAAATCCCATGTAATCACTGAAAATTCCTATTCTCTTAAAAGGGAGCTGGATTAGGCCTCTAATTAAGTTCTGTAAAGTCTGTTTGGTCCAGATGAACAACTGAGAGATGGACAATGTCCAAGGAACAACTCTATGACATGGTCTCAACATCCTCCACTACAACTTGCCAACACAACTTCTCCTGCTGTTACCCTTCAAACACTGGAGTAAAGCTATTTTTGCCTGTTACTGCTAAATGCATTTTGCCTTTGCCTAGCAAAAAAAGCAATATCACATCTAATCTCACAAGTTCCCAGTGAGCCAAACACAAGATACTGTCCCTTGAATTCTTCCTGAGACCAACAAAGGCTTTCCATTATTTACAAATCAAAAGCATTTAGAGACAATCTTTATTTTTTTTATTTAAAACAAGGAATGCCCTGTCACTATTATATAAGAAAAAATATACATCCTCCTATTTATACCCATCTTAACCAAGCATTCCAAAAAATAGAAATACTATTCATGCAGGTAATTGCTGCACAAAATAATAATAATAATAATAATAATAATAATAATAATAATAATAATAATAATAATAATAATAACTTATAAATAAAATTAAAATAACAAAATACACTCTCCTGTTCCAACAATTTTTCCAATTTATTCTAGAAATTCTGCCTGCAAATTGTTGGAACAGGTGAAAATTATAAAATTAAATATAGTTAAATTAATATGATTATTTGCTTTTGATTATTACTTCCATTGCTAGTTTTTCTTGTGTTTTTATTATGCATACCAGTTTTACAAAGTGCATGCTTTATTTATTTTTTTTTTTAATTTTGAACTGGCAAGCTAAAATGGTCCATCTTCTCCTGCCTTTTTTTTTTTTTAATGTTAATACAATCTAAAATCTAGCATTAAAAAATTTACCATGATACACCTGGTATATTGACTGCTTATGGCGCATGCTTCTCTTGGCAAAAAGAAAAAAACCAAAACAAATTGGCTCCCCTCCCACCCTCCCCGTTCCTTTTGGAAGCAATTTTAAAAAAAAGCAGGCTGGAACACAACTGCTTCAAGGGCAAAAGAAAAAAAATAATACCTGATGCTTTAATTTTTGTCACATGGCACTGGTTGTGGAATTGCACGCGCACACACACGCACACGCACCCGGCACTCACACAGGCACACGCACACACACTGCAACCTGCTCGTGAGGAAAAGAGTTTGTTAGGTCAGGAGTGCCAGTGGCACATGAAGGCTCCCAGCTGTGTGTGCAACTTTGGATTTGGTACCCACTTCACGTCACCTTGAATCCTCTGACATCCACCAAGGGGGTAATGTAAGGCATACTTTGCTGGAACAGTAATAATCCATGCTTCATGCTCAAGAGCTGAGTCTCAGAGGAGGACTGGCTTGCTCTACTCCCTTTGGCCTCGCTCCGTCTCACTCAAGGAACAAAAAACCCAAAACAACAAAGAACTGGGAAAAACAAGGAAAGCAAAATAAGACAAATCCCTTTAAATGGACTTTCGCCGTTTCATCAGCCTGTGGTTATCTGTAAAGCTGTGCAACCCAGGTGAGATGGAGCTGACAGGAGATGGGAAAAGGCTGTTTTTTAATGTGCTTGGCGAGATCTCCTCTATCTTGTAAGAGATGGAGTGAAAGTACTGGGGGTTCAGCTTCGAGCTGAACGAATTTTGGTGGGACACCACCCGGCTGGTGTACTCGTGGGACCTGTAACACATGCAGGAACAAACTGACTGAAGGTCTGTTACTTCGGCCTTGTACCGTGGCCGACCATGCTGGGAGTCCTCTTGGATGTGGATAATCATGCTGTTTCGGTTCCCTGCCAGGGACGCCCGCTCCTCGGCATCCCTCCTCTCATCCTCACTGTTCATGGTCAAGAACCTGAGAACAACCAGATTTAGAAATGCCCCAATGACTGTCAACCCCACTAGAATGTACATAAAGCTAAAAGCCACGTAGAGAGGCTTCTTTTGAAGGGCCCCTTTGGTCTGCAGGGCCACATAGTCTCCAAACCCTATCGTAGTCAATGTTATAAAGCAGTAATAGTAAGCATGGAAAAAGCTCCATTCCTCGTACTGGGAAAAGGCTGCTGCTCCAATGCAGAGTGTCCCCATGCAGGAGAAGAAACCCACAGTGACCATGTTTTCCATGGAGACCTCGGTGCTCCTCATGCCACAGCACTTTTTGATGCGTTTCAAGAGGTACTTGACGAAGGTGTTCATGCGCTCGCCCAGGCTCTGGAACATGACGAGTGTCAGTGGGATCCCCAGCACTGCGTAGAACATGCAGAAAGCCTTCCCTGCATCCGTCCCTGGGGCAGCGTGTCCGTAACCTGGGAGGGGAGATGGAAACACAGGACAGTCAGCAGGGCAGGGGATGGCCACCGTTCCCCCACCACACAAGCCACGCAAATCGCTCTGACGCCACAGCCAGATCCAAAGCTGAAGGGACACTGCAGTCACACCATCTTCCCATATCTCCTCACCCACGCCTTGTGTCTGAAGTAAACAAGGCACAGAACAACAATGTTCATGTAGGAGTGGGAAAGGTGAAAGAATGAGCAACCCATTCTGCCTCAATGTTCTACCTCAACAATGTTGAGTCTCCTGAACAAGGTTATATCGCATTGATTAACTGAAGAAATTTCATGTCTGTTCAGTGTCACAGGCAAAAGTGGAAACTTTGGAAATAGATGGACTTTCTCAGGGTGTTTTTGAGAGTAGTTGTTGCTCTGTCCCAAAACCAGAGTATAGTGATGGCATCCAAATTTTGTATCTGCTGACAGCATGGAGTTATCACATCCACAGGCCCACCAGCCAAAGAAATTCCTTTTCAAACTCTCCCATACTGAATAAGCCTTTCTCCTAGACATCTTATGAAAGTGACTCATTGCTGGAACACCATAAGAATTTAGGGATTTAATGCCCATTCTACCTTTACTTACTGGAAGAATAAACAACTTACCAGCTTGTGCCATAGTTTTACAGCTTTGACAGTATGGCAAAGACAATTTCATCAGGATGTTAAACTAATCCAGAATAGAGGATGTACCACATTTAATAGCATAGTTTTCAGATGGCAAAAATCATGGCTAAGCCTTTATTCTAAATCAAACCATTTGATTATTCTAAATCAAACCTCCCCCCCCCAAACTGGAGGGCTGTTTTGATTTTAGAATTACACCTATTCAGATTGCATTGCTTTAAAAATCTACATTTCTTACAGCTGAGATTTTAAGAGACTGTACCAAAGTCTCCAAAATGAGATGGCTGGGACCCACTTAGACACCCACTTTTGTCCATTCACCATGTGGGTACCACTATCTAGAGTCCCTTTACAGTCAGTGAGTAGAACTGTGTACTTCACAAAGGCAGTTCCTGTTGTGTACACAGAGGTGTCTGAAACAGGTCAGTGAGTTATTCTCAGGAGACAACTATTCCTCTACAATCATTATAAGAGAAATCTTGGGACAGAACTCTGTTCAAGGTTAATATACCTACATTTATGTATCTGCATGTGTTCTATGAGTCCAAACTCCTGTTACAGTCAACACAAATTCTATGAAAACAGGCAGTAGTGAGTTATTTCACTGACCATCCCAAGTCTGGCAAGAAGAAATGACAGTTCTGACTGCTCATTGATCATGTTCATTAGGTCCCCATTAGACTGACTAGACATCTGTTGACTGCAGAAGAATTTAGACACCCACAGCACTGGCAGACAACTACCTGTAAACAGCCAAATGAAGATATCCTAATCATGATAGTCACCTTGAGTGACTGTCTCCAGTGCAGCTGCCTGCATTGGAGATATTGAGGGTTTAAATCAGTTTTCCAGAAAGAATCATCTAACTTTATTCCAGACCCCTGAGATAACAGGATACCCATAGATGGCTGGCAGATGGAACACAGGGCATTCAGCAGAGCCACACTCTCACAGATCTGAAGCTGGAGGACAGACCTGACATGAGATACCACTGAGGCAGGAGCACTGAGGAGCCCTGCCCATCACCTTTAGACTCAGGTCATGGACCTGCTGCTCTGAGTTTGTCTAACTATTTTTCAAAACTGTTGACACTGCACACCTCCTCAATCTCCTGTGGCAACAAATTCCAGAAGTTCACTATCTGCTATGTAAAAAAGGTACATTTTGATTTCAAGGATATCTCCTTGTTTCAGCTAGAACACCTTAGTTACAGAATTGAAGTTCTAAATCTTTCTTATCTACCACCTTCATGTTTTCAGCTAAACTCAGCTTTATCTCTTCTTTCAGCCTTTTCCTGTCTAAACTGAAGCCACAGACTTTTTAACTCATGTAGTAAAAGTCACATTTCCTTGATCATTTCCATGTCCTTCTCTGGATCTTCTGTAGCTCTGCCACACCAGTGCTGAGCTGTGAACCCAGAATTCTGCCTTCCTCTCAGGATGGGGCTGCAGCTCAGCTCTGCACTTTTACTAGAACTAAAATACAAACACCAGGCAACCTTCAAAATATAAAGCAAGACTAGACAAGGAAAATACAATAAGAAAACCAGCAAGAATCCCCTTCAAAAAGCAAAAGATTTATTCTTAGATCAGTTGGTATTTGTTGATGGATGGGTGGTAAAAACCACTTTACAAAAGAAGCACAAAACTCAAAATATGAAGTTCTTTTCCAGGTTATATAGGAAAGAGATTCACCTGTTGTATTGAGCCAGGTAGTCTGTTCATCATAAAAAGCAGTTTCCAAATTACCTTGAAAGGGAAGTGTCTTCACCAGATTGATGCTGGGTTAGTTCCACCTGACTGTCCCTCAATAAAGGCTATAATTGCCTCTCATTACTAAGATCAGCTTTTGAACTACAGGGGTGTTAATTAAACAAGGGACATCTTCCTATTTTATAGCCTTAGTTACAGATGATAAAGAGTAGGAAAGCTTCAGAAAATGTGATTTTCCAGATGGTTGCAGAGATGGCAGTTGGTGGAAACAACTTTTACTTTGTGTTCTAAAAAAATATTTGGGGTGAAAAAAGGTTTATTTTGGTCTCACTTTATCCTTCTCATTAAATATATACCCTAGAAACAGTTTAGGGACATAATAACATTAATATTATATGCTTACATGTTATCTCACAGTTGAATTTACAAGATTTGTCACAGACTTTGTAATTATTTATCCTATAAGATACAAATATATCCATATCCCTGTTTTACAGATAGGGAAGCACAGACACCAGCAGGCTTCAGTTTCCCTCCAATTCACATATGCAGATAGAAAATGCAGAAATTCTGACTTGTACTCCTCCCCAAGTCATACTCACATTCCCCAATATCAGATAAATGTCCCTTACTGTATTTTCACCATGAATAAAGAAAGTACTTTATTCATGAAGCTGGAATGAGACTCTACAAATAGATTAATGTGTAGAGGATTAGAGTAATATATTTATCCTACAAAGCATGGCTTTAAGGCATAGACACCCTAGCCATTGCCTTAAGCACTCTGAAATTAGGGGGGTGAAAATACACCAAAGACAGACCTCACTCTCCATTACTTAAGCATTGCAGAACCTACCCAGCACTGTACAGAGTAATACATTGAAAGCAAACTGCAGCACTGCATGTTCTCTGAAATTCAATATTTTTCAAATCTGAAACAAATCATTGTCTTCTTAACACCAGAGACTGCCTCTGGGAAAAGGGGAAAGGAGAATAATTGTCAGAGGAAGAGGGGCACAAAGGAGCAATGATGCTGGGAAAGGACACAGGTCACAGAGACAGACTCCAGGTGGTTGGGTTTTACTTGCATCAAGTAAAGGCAGAAGTGGAAGCAACTGCCTTGGTAGAAGATTCCAGCTACTAAAATTCTTCCTGATTTCCTCTACACGAACACCACTGCCCTTTAGCAGAGTACAAAGAGATGACTTTGTGTCATCATTAAGAAACACAAGGCTTAAAGAAAAACAGAAATGTTAATGATGACATCAGTGCTTCTCTCTCTTCTCTGGTGAAGAAGAAACCTTAGAAGAAAGACCTTAGTACTGGGTACAGGAAATGCATCCCTTAACAAGACACAGAGCTAAAATAAGAGCGAGAAGGGTATAGATGGAGCTTTACACTGGGTCATACCTGAACAAACACTGCCCATCCTACTCCAGTACAGTAACTGGTTTGCTGAGATACCACAGTACAGCAAAGTGACCACAGCAGGCAGCTTTTTCTGGTGTTTAATGAGATATCTTTTGAATGATCAAGGAAACTCTCATTCTGACTGAAAGCAATGTCATTAGTACTCTTCCTCACTTTCAAAACCCCTCCCAGTAGCTTAGGCTTTCAAGACAGAACTCATCTGGGCGGGCACCAAGAATAGCTTGGCACGAAGAAATGTCATGTTTCATTGTCACTTCTGGACTGTGAAGCACCAATACACCACAAAATCCATCTCCTCCCAGTCATGGAACAGCTGGGCTACAGACACCAAGCAGAACTGCAGGAAGGTGTAGGCAAGGGAAGAAAATAATCACACTGTAAGGGGTAGCTCCAATTCAGTACTCTGTTTGGATCTTCCCTGTCTTTGGTTTTCCAGGCCTTGTCCATTCTCTGATGAAAAATTCTCAAAGAACATGTGCACCTACATGTAATTCTAGAAGAAAAAAAATAATTATATTTTCTTGTTTGCCAGAGTGTAGCTGTAAAGGTCTGAAGAAAAACCACTTAGAGCCTTCTTCAACACTTATTTTTTCTATGGTGCCTTTCAGACGAGACACAGAGAGAAAATACTCATTACAATCCTGTGAGGTCCCCAGTATATTTCTATGGGTTGTAAACAGACATAGTCCTGCTGCACCAGCCCACAAGCAGAACATGCAGAGGAACTCTGTGCACACCTACCCTGAATTCAACAGTGACCACAAGCAGATGGCTGAGGAGGAGAAGCATAGGAATGCTATAACTCCATGTGAGTTTTCCCCTGAAAATTCATGTACCCAGCTTCATTATTTGGTGCTCAGGGATTTCTTAAGCCAGTTTTTGCTGAGTTTAGTAACACAAAATGGATTTCTCTTCCCTGAGCTTGGGCATTGTCCCTTCCATGTCTTTGACATCCTGTGGCAAGAAGATTCATAGAACAACCATCTGTTCTCTAAAAAAAATTGCCATTTCTTCTTTACTTCCCTTTCATTACTGTCATTTGATGGTAATGGGATCTCCTTCTTTTTGGAAGAGACCAGGAACAATAGTTCCCTATTCCTCTCCTTTGTGTCACTCATGATTTTATACACCTTTTATCCCCAAAAATGCCATGTTGCATTCAGACCCCGAGCAAGTACCTCTGACACTTTGCAGCCTCATGTGG